GAAGCCAGAGGCAAAAACGTACTTTCCCTAAACCGGATGTACACAGCACGCGGTTTGTAAACTTTAAATTCAAGTGTCGCAGTCCGCAGGTTTCAAAATTATTCAGCAATTGGAAAATTTTAAAACCGAAAGATACTCCTTCTTTAAGTATAAAATTTAAAGAAGGCGCAATTTGCCACTAAATGACTACAAGAAATAATTTTTTCGTGCATGTTTTCCATAGAATATGTTTGAATTTACAAAGACAGTCAAAATCCATGGAGAAAATACATACTCTTTATGTAGCCACTTTTTACAATACATAATTTTTATTAGCTGTCAGAAAGAAGCTCGTTAAAAAGTCGACATCCTGACGTGACTAAAATATGATGAGATTAGGCTGCACGACTGTCATTCTTACAACCATACGTAATTAATATGTTTGAATCGAAAACGCATTTCAGAATTCCGGGTGACATATCATGAGCTAGGGAATCTACTGTATGTTTATGCAGGCCAGAGAACCTTGAGAAGGCGAGGAACGCGCTGGATGATTGTTAGCTTAATGGCCCAAAAAAATCCAATTCCGCAGAAAATACCGACGCCTTGACTGCGTGATGACTGCTCTGTCGCCTGCAACCAATAAAATGAAGCGGACGTATCGATTAGCTTCGGGCGTACGCGCAGCGGGTCGACAGCGCACAGCGTGCAAGGCTTGGCGAACGAAGACAGGATGAGTCAATGCAATGGCACTGGGCGGGCAGACTCCCACAATTCCATCGACCGTCAAGGATGCAAGTCTGGAAGTGACTGTGCAGGGCTCTCTACGCCGGCGCATACAGACAGGACAATGGACCCATGGCTCAGTGGTAGAACGTTGCATTTAATTATGCTCAGTGACCAAAGAATTTAGGTTCGAATCATCCGTACATCGGGTTGGGCCTGGTTGGTTGACGACGGCTCATATTTCGGAATTAGCCATTCCGGTCTCAGTTATGCTTCTCCATCCCTAACACTCTGCGTATCCTGGCGCACATGTTCGAAAGCGAAAATTTCCGTGACCGCAGTCACGAAAAGCTGTCAAGCAGCTGATCACAAGTTTCTGTCAAGATTCATTATAAAACGCGGGAGCAAATTGTCTTTTTTGCCTCTGTATTAGCGGTATATCCACTTTTCCGAGAAGTCCTTACTAACTTTTTATTTAATTCGCAGAGATCAGGCGTTCGTACTGAAGTTTCATCAACATCTGTTGGCTCTTTAGTGTGTGCACCAAGGTGGACGAGCATCTATGACTTGAGCTGGGGCTAGAGAGTTAAATGAAACGCCAAAAATATTTTCCGTGGCTTCAATGTCTTTTGACTGATTTTTCAGATGGCGGCTTGTCGAACACACTATTTTTATTGTTCTGAGCTTTCAAACCTATTACAGGAATTCACCGCCAGAGATAACAGCAACGACAAAATGGCGATAATTATAGGGATTTTAAATAAATCGACTGTCAGTGACGCACGTCTGGATGTGACGGCGCAGAGTCATATACGCCGGCGCCAAATCGATAAATCGATTGGTTGCATTCCCATCCATGGTCCAGGTTTCAATCGATTCTCTTGACGGCTCGGTGTTGGACAAGCCTTCTCCTCTAGTCATGCAAACACCTAGAGCGTGAACTTTCTCAGCCATTAATTCACGCTTCTGCTCGTGTCTTATTTCAAAACCGCCAACGCCTACTGCGAACCGCGAATTTGTTTTCTTTCGGACTGTTCATTGTGTAAATGGTCAGTATTCGCCGTTCCCACCTTGGCGCAACTGCGCGCCTGCTAAATTTTCTTTGTAGCAAAATTCCAGGCACTGCTGTTTAGAGAAGACTTTTGTTTCGCATGAGTGAACAGATTTCACTGCGCTTTTTTAATTGGCCACCTAGTTGCCTACTTTTCCCCTCTTTGCTGCGCTCAGGAAACCGGTGTTTATGTTCGATTTGGGCGCGCCGGTCGGAGACGTCACCTGGGCTCCCTACTCGTCCACAGTGTTTGCAGCGGTTACTTCCGATGGCTATGTCCACGTCTACGATCTGAATGTCAATAAGTATGAAGCTCTGTGCAAACAGCTGGTGGTACAGAAGAGGCGCACCAAACTCACTCACCTCGCTTTCAACCCGATATATCCAATTCTCATCTGTGGTGATGACCGGTATGTTCAGTTTATGCCTCCTCCCTTGTTTTGGTCAAATAGTCCCGCTACTGCTGGTAGCATTGCTATTATTACTTATATTACTCGCAAAATTGATTTCTAGGGCCCCTCTAGATATCTATCCCCCGCCCAACTGCTTAAAGTATTTTGTGGTCAAACATTTAATTCTTGGCTAGTGAGCGTAAATTTATATGTAATTGTGGCGGAATTGATCAACAAATATTCAATTAACTAAGATGATGGTTGTTTTAATATGCTAAATAGAATCAAATTCAATCAACATAAACTTCTCTTGCGCAGGATACGAATGCTAATCGAGGGAAATTTGACCTTATGTAGGCGGAATTTAACGAAAATGGAAATTCGTCCTTCTATCGGTGGAATTTAACGAAAAAATTTAAAGTCGACGGGATTTTGGGGGGCCTCTAAAATCAATATTGCCCTATTACTTTTCATACTGTTGTTGTTGCTGCTGCTGCCGCCGCTACTATTACTGTTAGTAGCACCGTTATGGCGCTAATCTCTGTATAAAGACTGACTGTCACAGCAGCTTAGGCTGGGTGCAGGGCGTGGCGCCTACGGCATTCAAATGACGAGAGGATGAGTTAGACGCCAACAAAGAGCCTTTCATATGCAAAGAAGGCGAAGGCGCTTTTTTAGTTTTCCCAGTTTTTATTGGAGTTCACCTGCAGAGATAAAGGCGAAAACAATGCAAGCAAAGGTTTTTAGAGGTAGGCGGCAATCATATACCAATAACGGCGGTCCGGATGGGACTACTTTGCGCACATGAACTCTACCCGTCCCGATGCACGTTTGCAAGTACTCAGACCAACCGTTCAAGGCGGGAGGGG